TGGCACCAGAGGCGCTCAAAACGGTCCAATCGGGGATGGACAGACCTCCCTTTAGTAAAACGTGGTTTAGTGAAAACGACCTGAGGCCCAAACCTGGCGGGCGCAAGCCTGGAAAATAACGGCCACGGCGCCCTCTCGAAAACCGAAAACGGACAATTCACTAATCGACGTGTCACTGTTGGGGGCTCTGTCCACCGCCGATCCAAGAGGGCCCCAAAAGAGCCCCAAGAGGGGCCCACGAGGGGGAACTCGAGCTTCGATTTCGCACCGTCCGTCCACGGAGGGCCTCCGAGACCGCTAGCCGGCACCCAGCACACCCCCAATAGGCTCCAAGAGGCTTCCATGAAGCCACAAATATGTCCCAATAGGCCTTTCCAGTCCCAACATGAAGTCCAACATGAACGTCCCTTTCCAAAGAAGTCCCAACATGAAGCCCCAACATGAAGTCCCAACATGAAGCCCAACATGGAGTCCCTTTCCAAATAAGTTCCATGAAGTCCCAACATGAACCTCAAACCTTTCCTCAGAAGCCTCACCAGTTGACGTCGTTCTGCGCTGGGGGTCGGTGGAATGTCGCAAGCCACTCGAATCCGCCCGCCCACCGGGTTGAGGGGCGCGTGAGACTTACCGGTGAAAACTCCTTACAGGGCTTTGGCCCCCTCGTGTAACCCCCCCTCCCCCCGAGGCCCCCGCCATTCTGCCACCCACCTGCGGCATCGACCCTTTTCGCATCCAAGACGGTTTCCAGATGGCGTCCCAAAACGCGCAATTTGGCGTTACTTCCACCCCTCTGGGGCCCCTTCTGGGCATCCAGAATTCGTTCCCGGGGCCCTCAAGAGCGCATCTGGGGCACAACTTTGCGCACAAACTCGACGACATGTCAAAACGTAGCAAAAACCACAGGTTTTGGGGTGATTTTGACCTCGTCGGGGGTCGCCCAGATGCGTCTCACAACAAACTTTCGGGCTCGTCTGGGCGCGCTGTCAGGCCAATTCTGGACGATGCTGGGCCCAAGATGGGGCCCAAAACGAAACCCGAACTGGCCAGGTTTTCGATGGCTTTCGGACGGGGTCGCAGCCCAACGCGGAAATGCTCTTGCGTGGGCCGTCCAGAAGCTCCCCCGGGCCGCCTCGGGACATTCTTGGTTCCCTTTTGGGCCCCTCTCGGGGCCCCCTTCGGCCCCCGTGGGCGCCTTCTAGGGTGTTTTCGGGCCGTCTTTGGCTGGTCTTGGGCAGAGTTCTGGCTATCTCTGGCCTCCTGCGGTGGCTAGGCAACAACTGTTAGACTAGCCAACGTCCATTCCATTGATCCGCTAATAGTGAGGAGGTGCCGTCGATTAATAGACGAATTGGAAAGCGACCAGCCACAAGGCATACCTGAGCCCAATGTGCGATGAGATGAGAAGAAATTTAGCGCAAGAGAATTTACAAAAACCATATGTGGGGGAATCTTCCACCATGCTCGGAATGTTGTCATCACGTCTTGGCGCCGTCAGCGTCTCTTCCGGCGAGAACTGCAATGGGCGGGCAGTGAGCGTGAAGCCCCTTCAATCATGGCAATGATGATGACGATGGCGATGATGATGCTGATGCTGCTGATGATGATCATAGTGATGATGATGGTGCTGCTGATGATGATGTTGGTCATGATGAGGATGCTGATGATGGTGATGATGATGACGACGATGGTGATTATGTTGCTACTGCTGCTGCTGCTGCTGCTGCTGATGATGATGATGATGATGATGCTGATGATGATGATGATGATGATGATTGTGATGCTGATGAGGGTGACGATTATGATGATGCTGCTGATGATGATGCTGATGATGCTGCTGATGATGATGACGGCGATGACAATCACGATGATGCTGCTGCTGCAGCTGATGATGATGATGATGATGATGATGATGATGATGATGATGATGGTGCTGATGATGACGACGCTGATGTATATTCTGCTGAAGCTGGGGAGGAGGAGGAGAAGGAGGAGGGTCAGAGATCGATAAGGCGGGAGAAGGAGCAGGGCGAGGAAGAGGAGGGATAATGGGAGGAGGGGCAAGATAACGACGATGGGGAGATTGATGACCATTTAGAGGCCAAGGTAAACATTAAAGTCACTTGCCGAGGCCAAGTCGGTGACCAGTCCGTGCGCTACGGGTCAGAGAACCAAGCGCTGTAAGTTCTGCATTGTAGGTTCGAAGCAGGGGTCCCCGATGACGGAAGGACCCAGGGAAGAGAGGGGGAGGATAAGGAGGAGACTGAGGAAGAGACGATGCAGGAGCTGGAGTTGAAGGAATAGGAGGAAGGCTGAGAGGGAGAGAGGAGTGGGGGGAGGAGAGCCGTTTCATCGAACTGATACTCGCCGGCAACCTCTGCAGCGCTCTGGTGCGCCCCCAATAGACTTGCCCTACCGCTAGCGACGGCCGCCGTTGCGCGGCCGCCGTTGCCCGGCCGGCTTGGCCCCAGAGCCGCATCGCTGCGGGCGCCGCTGTGCGCCTCGTCACGTCGGTGAGTGCAAGGCGGAGGTCATCGTGACGAGGCCCTTCGAGGCGGCAGTCTCGCCTCTCGCGCGCGGAGCCCCTCGCCCTTGGCAGCGCCGCTTCGCTGGAGGGCGTGGCCAGTGTCAGCGTCGCGGTGGATCGCGGGCGCAGCTGCTCGGACGGGAGCTCCGAGGCTATGCTCTGGCTCCGTACTCCAGGAGTTCTTCGTGCCGCAGCAGCCGGTGTGCTTCCACGCGGCCGCCTGACGGTCCCCGTGGTGGCCCTCGATTGCGCTTTCTGGCGAAGGTCAGGGCAGCGGGCGCGAGGGCGGAGATCGCCGTGAGGCCGCAGGGCTGGGGGGGCACGTTGGGGGGACCAGTTTAGGAAGGGGAGCGTCGACCTGGAATCGAAAGTACGTCGCCGATAGATCGGCGATAGGCCTCTGATGGCGACTCCGCTCGCTCCTGGGCGGGAAGGGCTATTGCACCTCGATTGGTGATCAATGGGCGATTCGGGGTCGATGCGTCTCCCCCTAGACCTATGCCCCCCTAGCGTTGCCCCTGAGAGGCTGGGGGGTGCCGGGCAGAAACCTCGTGCTCGTGTTGGGCACGAGGTCAAAAGGAGGTTGTCTGGGTTCACGGCCGAGGCCAGGAGGAGTCTAAAAGTGTCTTCTGCGGCGGACGGCCCGCACGCACGGGGCGGCTGAACCGAGACGGAGCACCTAGGACCTAGGAGCAACCAGTCACTCAAGCGGGTCAACTAGGCCGCCTACTTCGGTTAGCTCGTGTTGGGCACACGGTCAGGAACTTCTGCTTGGCGTGTCGCGGCGGCGGCCCCCTGCGAAGTGCTACAAGCTAATCGCGTGCCGCCCCTGATGTTGCATTGGGAACGGGATGCGCGCCGCACCGAGGGTCCAGAAACGCTCGCAATGCCAACAACGTGCCGCGCCGCAGCGTGGTGGGCGCCAGGACCGGCGGCGCGCCGCGCCTCGGAGCCTGCGCTCCCTGACACTTGTTCTCGAGCCAGCTCTCGGGCCTCCGGCGGCCACTCGGGACGATCGGGGCTCCCCCTGGACCGCTCTCGGCGAGGCGCAGCCGCTGGAAGGCATCCTGGGGCTGGAAAGCCGCCGAGAGCCGACGCAGGCGGCCGCACACCAGCGGCGCGACATGCCGAGCCAACGTTCCTGACCGTACGCTCTGCGCCAGCTCCTGCCGGCGCGCCGAAGGGCCTCAGCTCCGAGCAGGGCCCGGCGGCCACGCTCGGCTCGTAGGCCGGGGCGCGGGGCTTCCGCGTCTCCGAAGGGAGGCTGCTCTGGAGCGCCAGTGGGCCCCTGGGCCGCGGGTCGCCCCAGCCTCCCGCGCGCGCGCCCCGTGGGCGCGCTGCTGGGGCTGCTCGGGCAAGGCTGGTCTGAGCCAAGGCGGCGGCGGCGGCTCTCTTCTCTCCGTGCGGCTTCCCTGCCACTCTCTGCTGGCCCGCTGCCCCTGGATGCGGCGCCCCCGCTCTCCCTCCTGGGAGGCCATGGCTCGGAGGCGGGGGGACGACGAGCCCAGGCTTCTCGACCAAGTCGTCGATCAACAGCGCCCTCAGGAGCAAGACGCGCAACATCAGAACGTACCTGCCGCTGCCGCTCCACGAGAGCACTCCCGTCAAACAATTCAGCACCATATCATCGATAATTTCCAGGCCGACGAGGCCCAGCAACTCCGCGGCGCCGGTGACGTCGGGCGCGACGGCCGTGCGCATGCTCGAGCTCGGCGACAATCTCGCGTGGACGAGCCTCCGCGCCGTGCGCGCTGATGACGCTCGCGGCGGCGGAGACCTCTTCATGCAGCGCCGTGCTGGATAGGCAGAGCAGCAGAGGTGCGAGGCGGCCGTGCCGCTCGAGGCCCTCTCGCGCGGGGTCGAGGGCTTCCCGCATCGAGTTCTCACGGGCTCCGCCTGCTGCGCGGCTTCCTGGGGCGAGGGCGTCATGGCGGAAGAGTGGTGCTACGCTGCGCACGTGGGGCGGCGACAGTGGCGGGAGCGGAGGCACTCTGCGCGGAGTTGCTGCACGAGATGCTCCCGAAGTTCGCCAGCAGGGTCGGGGCCCTCGGCTTAACCAGCTGCGGCCACGAGGCGGGCACACGGCAAGTGCACGTCACTTGGAAGCCTCCCGGCCAACAGGACCACTCAGAGCATTTGTGTACTTTCGGTGCTGTGCGGCGGTGTCCTGGGAGTCGTTCGAGAAGGGCTGGTCGGACCACCATCAAAGGGGAGAGTCAGGGCTGCGACCTGCGGGGCTGCCAACACTGCTGCTACCGCTGCCGTCTCCCCTTTTCCTGCTCGCCCTCCTGTCTGTTCTCTCCATCCGTGCCCTTATCGTCTTCGAACCTTTGGCAGCACTCCGAGCCGAAGCGGACAGGGGAGGAGGAGGAGGATGATGATGAGGAGGAGGAGGAGGAGCAGGAGGAGGAGGAGGAGGAGGAGCAAGAGGAATACAAGGAGGAAGAGGATGATGATGATGATGAGGAGGAGGAGGAGGAAGAGGAGGAGGAGGAGGAGGAGGAGGAGGAGGAGGAGGAGGAAGAATAGGAGGAGGCACCTGTGCGAGCGGACAAAAAACCGACTCGTAAGGCACTCGTGCGAGCGTGCGAGGGAGGCACTTGTGCAAGCGAGCGTGCGAGCGGCAGGCCCGAGGGCGCTTCGCAGCGCACCTGCAGCTGAGGCCGAAACCGAAACTGAAGTGCGCACAAACATTGCTCACCCTGCAGGCACGGCTGTCAGCACACCGCTGCAGGTTCTCTGGGGTATATGCGAGGAGGAGAGTCGGATGTTACCAGAAGTGGTCGTGGCTCAAGGTGCCCCAAACGCCTCGCGCAAGTTTGCAGCACCTGGGGCCCCCAGGGCCTCGTGAAGGGGTGCTCTGCAAGCCGTTGGGGCTTCCCGGGAAATCCTGGGGTCACCTTGGGCCTGGGACGCCTGCGTAGAGGCCTCCTAGTTGGGGTCGGAGTAGATGGGGTCCGGATCGCGCCGCGTAGCCGATGCATCACGATGCATGTCCGATGCATCGGAGATGCACCAGCGACGTCAGTGATGCATCGGCGCCGTCGGCGTGGAGAAACTCGGGCTCCACATTCAGCCGCACCGCCGGTGCATCGGCGATGCGGCGCGACCCTCCGACCCCATCTGCTCGGACTCCATCTGGGAGGCCCAACTTTCGGCAGCGCCCGAGAGAGGAGCCGAGGGGGGAGAGCAGCTGGCGACGGCCTGCCGAGGCCGTGCACGAGGTGCGCGCGGCACGCGCGGACGGGCGCCAGGCGGAGGCGGGGCGGCGGCGGGAGCTGGCCGCACGGCGAGCTCGGCCACGCGCCAGGCTGGTCCTGGGCGAGAGGGACCTCTGCGGCTTCCGGAGACCGCGGGGAGGCCAAATCCTCCGCTCCTCCTCCTCTCCTCCTTCCTCCTCCTCCTCCTCCTCCTCCTCCTCCTCCTCCTCCTCCTCCTCCTCCTCCTCCTCCTCCTCCTCCTCCTCCTCCTCTCCTCCTCCTCCCTCTCCTCCTCCTCCTCCTCCTCCTCCTCCTCCTCCCTCCTCCTCCTCCTCCTCCCTCCTCCTCCCTCCTCCTCCTCCTCCTCCTCTCTCTCCTCCTCCTCCTCCTCCTCCTCCTCCTCCTCCTCCTCCTCCTCCTCCTCCTCCTCCTCCTCCTCCTCCTCCTCTCCTCCTCCTCCTCCTCCTCCTCCTCCTCCTCCTCCTCCTCCTCCTCCTCCTCCTCCTCCTCTCCTCCGCCTCCTCCTCCGCCTCCCCTCCTCCTCTTCCTTCACTGTCTGGGGAAGGTCATTCCCGCGAAAGGTCACTCTTACGCGTGGCCGACGGGTGCCGTCACTGCGGCCGGGCGACCTCCGCCCTCTCCTCCAGCGGCCGCGCCCCTGAGACCTCGGGGAGCAGAAGAGGGCGCCCCGCGCGCCTTGATGAGTGCCATTGAGGAAGGGGACTGGCCCAGGGGAGGAACATCGACTTGGGATCGGCGACGCGTCGCCGACGCATCGCCGAGAGGCCCCCGATGCCGAAACCGAAACCGCGCACTCCTGGGGGGGGTGGGCTGTCAGGCCCTTTTCGGCGATCAATGGGCGATCGGGGGGCCGATGTGCAGTGCCACTGGAGCCAATTCCCCTCCTCCTCCTCCTCCTCCCCCTCCCTGGAGCCAATTCCTCCTCCTCCTCCTCCTCCTCCTCCTCCTCCTTAGGGCGGGCCTCCTCCTCCTCCTCCTCCCTGGAGCCAATTCCCCCTAACGTTGGCAGTGCCAACTGGCACTGCGCGGATTTCGGGTCACGACTCGGGCCTCCAGCGGCCGGTCGTGGCGATGTGGGCACCCGCAGAACCCTCTGGGCGAGGCTCGGTGGCCGGGAAGAAGCACCCCGAGGCCAGGAAACGGCCGGGAACTCGCAGGCATATCCGAAAACCTTGAACCTCGAACGTTTGGGGGGTCGATGCGTCCCCGCTGCAACCTACGGTCAGGAACTTGTGCTTAGCAGATTGCCACGGCGGCCCCGGCGCCACGCTGTGCCTTGCAAGCGGATGGCGTGTCGCTCTGCCCCGCGGGGCGGGAGGCTGGGAAAGGCTCGGGACATTGAAGCTCGGGGACTGGGACATGGAGAGCGTGTCGCGCCGAAGTGCGGTGGGCCAGAACTGGCGGCGCGACACGCTATCCAGAAGTTCCAAGTCGTATCGGTCTCGGGGAGGGGGCCCTTTTTTCAGAACTGATGGAAAAGTGGATGGGGTAGGTGGCGGTCTGCTGTTGCTTCAGACTTCTCTAGTCACTTAGGCTCGCGCTTCAAGCTGAGCAGGCCTTGAGGAGGAACACACCACGCAACCAACAAGTAAGCTCCGAGACCGAGTAGGGCTTTGATCCTCTCTTGCACCTCTTGTTTGCTTGTTTGTTTTTGGACGCCCGAAATGGGTACGGATTAAAAATGGGTACAATGCCCAACAAATGTTGTCCAGAACCGACAGCGGCCGCTGTTGGGCGGGCGGCCTTATGTCTCAAGCGGACAAGGTTCGCGGCGGCACCGACAACAAATCCTGTTCAAGATGAACAGGGACCGCTGTCGGTCTTCGTGCCCATCCTTTCAGCACCCACGTCGATCGTACCGATTTGTTGGGGGCGGGGGCCCACCCTCGCGGGCAGCCCCCCTCCCCAAAGACGAGACCTCCGCCCGCGGTCAGCCGCCCCCGCCGCGCCGGGGCGCTCCGTGGCCCCCCCTGCGGCGCGGTGCGCCGACACAGCGAGGCAAGCGCGCGGTCGGTGTGTGTGTGTGTGTGTCTGCCGTTTGGATTTACAGCTCCTCCTTCACACCATCCATTGCATTGACAGTGTGCACGTTTTGCGCGCTGTGCCTTCGACAACGTTCGATCACAATCAGCACCTCCATCTGCTGCTCGCGCTTGAGGATTCTCTGCGCCGCCGACTTTAAAAGTGTGTGTGTGTGTGTGTGGCCTGCCTTCTCGGCCGCCGCCGTTTCCGGCGCGCCGCCAGGCTCGCCGGCTGTCGCGGCACTGCTGCCCACGACCTTTGTGGCCTGTGCGCCGCCCGCTGCTGGGCCTTCGCGGCCTCCCTGGCTCCTGCCAGCCTCGGCACCCGCGCTCCGTACGCACGTGGCTCCCCTGCCCTCTGGGCTTCCAGGTCGGCCTTGGCCTCCTTGCCGCTCCACGCTGCTTGCTCGCTCCCCCCGCCATCCACCGCACCTTCCACCATACCGTACCGTCCCGGATGGCTCATGGCACCTTCCACCGCACCGTTGTCTCGTCCTCTCATCGTCCCCCCTGCGATCCACGCCCAGGTGGCTCATGGCTGCCACGGGCTGCGGGACCCTGAGCGGTCTATGAGGGCTCGGGCGCACTCAGTCGCCCGCGCGCGTTCGTTGCTTGACGACCTTCTACGCCCTGTCGCCGCGCGCAGGGCCGCGACGCCAACAAAAAGTGTGCCCCTCCCCAGCCCGCAGGCCTGCAGGGCGAGACGTGGAACGAAGGGCCACTTTGCGGCAGCAGGGCCCCGCTTCACCTCCCAAAACCCCCTGATGAGGCCTCCGATGCGCTTTCGATTGGCGGCGAGCCCGGGCGGGGAGTGAGATGGAGGAGGCCTTCTCAGGAGGTCGGAACTTCCCCAATCTTCTGAAGCATTTTCTAGGCCTTCCCCCAAAACACTGGAAACTTCTCAGAAGGCCGGAGAGCTTCTGAGAAGTCTCCCGCCGCCTTCTGAGAGGGCCTTCTCCTTCTCACTTCCCCCCCTCGCTCGCCGCCTACTCTAACAGGCCTCCCAAACTGAGCCTCTTCGAGTCCGCGACCTTCCTGGGGCCTTCCTCCAGATTCCTCTCCAGGGTCGGCGGGACCGGCCGTAAGGCCTCTCCAATAAGGGTCACTTTTTTGGTCGGTGGCGAGCGAGGGGAGGAAGTGAGAAGGAGAAGCCCTCGCGCCCTCTGAGAAGCTTCCTGTGTCTTCGGGGAAGGCTCAAACAACTCCTCAGAAGGCCGGGGGACTTCCGAGCCTTCTGAGGAGGCCCGCCCCTTCTCACTTCCCCCCCGGGCTCGCCGCCGACTTGGGCTCAGGAGAGGCTGCTGGTCTTCGGGCCGCCCCTCAGAGCAGGGTCGGGGAGCTTGGAGCGTGGCCGAGGCTCGCCGTGGCCAACACGCATTACCAGAGACGTGCCCAACTTTTTCCCCACGCGAGGAAACTGGTTCTGTGAATGCTCGATAACAGAGAACGCACTGCGAGATATGCATGATCTGTGTGGCCCTGCACTCCGCCGTGCCGCCCAGGAGCCCACGCAAGTTGCGACTGTTGCGCAGTTCGCGGCCCCCGAGGGGTCTCCAAGGGATCCCCAGCGCCCTCACCTCCGCCGTGCCTCCCAGGCGCCCACGAAAGTGGCGACTGTTGCGCAGTTCGCAGCCCCCGACGGAGTATCGAGGTTTCAAATGGATCCCCGCTGCCCTCACCTCCGCCGTGCCTCCCAGGCGCCCACGAAAGTGGCGGCCGGTGCGCAGTTCGCAACCTCCCATGGAGCCGCGAGGTCTCGCGTGACTACCGCCTCCGCCGTGCCTCCCAGGCGCCCGCGACAGTGGCGACAGTTGCACAATTCGCATTCCCCGGCAGAGCCGCAAGGTCTGACGTGACCTTCACCTCGGCCGTGCCTCTCAGGAGCCCACGAAAATGGTGACAATGGCGCAGTTCGAAGCCTCCGAGCGAACCGCGAGGTCTCAAGTGGATCTTCGCTGCACTCACCTCTGCCGTGCCTCCCAGGAAGCTACCCACGACAGTGGTGACAGTGGCGCAGTTCGCAGCGCCCGAGGGAGCTGCGAGGTCTCAAATGGCTCCCCGCCACCCTCACCTCCGCCGTGCCTCCCAGGAAACTATCCACGAAAGTGGCGACGCGGGGAGCCGGGCCTTCCAGGGGAGCAGCGCAGGAGGAGGAGGAGGAGGAGGAGGCAGAGTGCAGGAGGAGGGAGGCAGGGAGGAAAAGGGAGGCGAGAGAGGAGGTGGAGACCACAGTGCCCTACTCAAAACGAGGGCCCACTTGGGAAAAACTCTCGCTCCTCATTGGGGCTCCTTGTGGTAGCACGATGGCTGCCATGCGAGACGCAGAGTGCACCCGCGCGCGACCCCGACACCCACGAGGTGATCTTTCAGTCCACAGCCCCCGCGCTCCCCATCACATCCCTGGGGCCAACTCTTCGTCCCGGAGCCGTCTTTGATGGCCCCGAGGCCCGAAACCAGCCCCGGGGAGCCGAAATCAGTGAAAACCGCCGCGACTGAAAAAATCGATCCTTCGGATGCCTGGGAATCGGGCGTGGACTAATCCAGCTCAGCGCAAGCTCGGCTAAATCAGACTCAGAAAGCCTGCGCTGTATTTTTTGGGGAGCTTCCCAAACCCAACTCCACCAATATTCAGGGCCACCTGCAGGGCTGCGAGCGGCCCCAAACCCGGCTCAGCCCAACTCTGGCTTGGCGGGACTCTCCACGTAGCTGCCCCGGTACGTGAAACGCAGCCCGTAGCGTGTTGACACAGATGTCAGCACGTATGAATGGGAACTGGGACACACAAATAAATACACACCAATAAAAATATCCCCCATATTTTCCTATATGTTTTGGGTTTTTGTCTTCCCCCCCACTTCCAATATTTTCCCATATTTTCTGGGAATCGCCGATTAATTGTGTCTGTGTGTTTTTTCCCTCCTGAACGTAGATTGAGCACGTAGGTATGGCGCGACACGTTCGCCCAAACGTGGGCCCACACGTGCGTGAGACGTGTTGCACACGGCACGTGTTGAGTTTCCCCTCTCCTCCTCCTCCTCCGCCTCCTCCTCCTCCGCCTCCTCCTCCTCCTCCGCCTCCTCCTCCTCCGCCTCCTCCTCCTCCATCAACTGCGTATCAGGGCAGCCCTGCAAGATCCAGCGCTCTGGCTGAGCCCCAGGCATCCTCCGATGTGTTCTTTCAATCCGAGGCCCCAGAGGTCCCGAACCCTTCCCCAGGTTTTTTTTTCTTCCCCCGATCCAGTTTTGATGGTCCCAGGCCCCGGCAGTGGGCCCTAGAAGCCGAAATCGAGGAAATTGTCCCAGTGCGACCCTACCTAGGAGTTGGAACCCCTAGGAAAGCAGCATTAGTAGTAACAGTAACGCTAAGCTAAAGCTAAGCTGCTAAGCTAAAGCTAAGCTAAAGCTAAGCTAAAGCTAAGCCACAGCTAAGCTAAAGCTAGGCTAAAGCTAAGCTAAATCTAAGCTAAATCTAAGCTAAAGCTAAGCTAAAACTAAGCTACAGCTAAGCTAAGCTAAGCTAAGCTAAAGCTGAGCAACAGCTAAGCTAAAGCTAAGCTACAGCTAAGCTAACTATAAGCTAAAGCTAAGCTAACGCTAAGCTAAAGCTAAGCTAAAGCTAAGCTAAAGCTAAGCTACAGCTAAGCTCAAGCTAAGCTAAAGCTAAGCTAAAGCTAAGCTAAAGCTAAGCTAAACGCTAAGCGAAAAGCTAAGCGAAACGCTAAGCTAAAGCTAAGCTACAGCTAAGCTAAAGCTAAGCTACAGCTAAGCTAAAGCTAAAGCTAAAGCTAAAGCTAAAGCTAAAGCTCCCAAGGGACTGGGGGGAACCGCTCCCAGGGGACTGGGGGAACCGCCCGGGGCGCTTTACACTGCCCGGCCCCTTTAAGCTAAGAGAGTAGTAACCCTTCTAGGCAGAGCCTAGGTAGGGAAAAACAGCCGGATCAAAATTAGCCTGGCGAAGGACCCAACCATATGCAGTTATGTGTGACGCAGTTGTGAATATTGTCTTCGGTGGAGCTCCCCATGGGGCCGCGAAGCGTGTGAGAAATGTACCGAGAGGGGCGAGGTGAGCGCATGCGAACGCAGCCACTGGGGTTTTCGGTGGCGCTCCTTATGGGGCCACGAAACGTGTGAGGATTGCGCCGTCATGGGTGTGGCGGGCGCATGCGAACGCAGCCACTGGGGCCTTCTGTGGAGCTCCCTATGAAGCCACGAGACGTGTAAGGGGTGTGCCGAAGTGGGTCGGGCGGACGCATGCGAACACCATCACTGGGGCCTTTGGTGGAGCTCCCTGTGGGGCCGCGAATCGTGCGAGGGATATACTGAAAGGGCCGGGGCGGATGCATGCGAACACCGCCACTGGAGTCTTCGGTGGCACTCCCCATAGGGCCACGAAACGTGTGAGCCGACAACGATTGGAGCGGACACATGTAAACGTAGCCACTGGGGCCTTCGGTGGAGCTCCCTATGGGGCCACTAAGCGTGTGACGGGTGTGCCGAAATAGGCGGGGCGGGCGCATGCGAACACCGCCATTGGGGCCTTCGGTGGAGCTCCCCATGGGGCCGCGAAACGTTTGAGGGGAGTGCCGACGTGGGTGCGGCGGGCGCGCTTGAACGTAGCCACTGGGGCCTTTGGTGGAGCGCCCTATGGGGCCACGAACAGTGTCAGGGGTGTGCCGAAATGGGTGCGGTGGGCGCATGCGAACGCAGCCACTATGGCCTTCGGTGGAGCTCCCTATGGGGCCGTGAAACGTGTAAGGGGTGTGCCGAAATGGGTGCGGCGGGCGCATGCGAACGCAACCACTGGGGTCTTCGGTGGAGCAATTTATGGGGCCACGAGACGTGTGCCGAAGTCTTTGACTGGTGCGGAGGGCAAAGGCAGGAATGGGAGGAGGGAGGGGGTGAGGAGGAGGAAGGAGGGAGACGCCGGGCGCTGTCTCTTCAAAACGAGAACCCAACACCACAAGATGCTTGGGACAAATCGAGACATCGCATGCCTGGGTTCCAGCCCCTCGGGGGCCCAGGAAAAGTCAGCATCGAACCTGGAACATCGGATCGGATCGAAGCGTTCGTCGGATTGGGTCGCATCGACACGGAATCGAGGTCGAATCGAATCGGCCACGCAAAGATGCACAGCAAAGAAGAACAAACACCGGGCCACATCGGATCGTCGGGATATCGGAATCGAATCGGATCGAGCCGGCCAGAACCGATATCGAATCGGATCGATCGGATTGGAATGGGCCCTGGGGGCCCCAGGATCTGGCCGAAGTGCGGCAAGCTCGTGTCATTACGATACTGGCACTGGCTTCCGACATCGTTCTTGTCGTCCAACCTTGAACGATCGCGACCTCACGATAGCGCAGATTGCTTGATACCGGCCGATTCTGGGCCACTGGCGGCGTTCAACCTCGAACGCCCGCGTCAGGATCGTCGCCGCGTCGACGCGGCGCGAACCTGCTGCACAGCAGCGATTAGAGACAAGCGAGATAGGAAACCTGACATTTCGGAAATCCGCGCGGACTTCTCGGGCCGGCGGTGGGACCGGGATGCTTCCTGTTGGACTGTGTTGTGCTTCTGAATCTCGAGAGGAAGAGAGAGAGAGAGAGAGGACTGCTGCAGGAGGGAAGTGTTGGGGCAAGCGAGCCCTACTGAGGGCAACAATTTCTGCCTTCAGGGAATAACAATTCCTGTCTTCGCAATTCCCCCTTCAGTGAGCTCATTGACTACAGAGAACATGTTTTGCCTCATTGCCTACAGAGAAACATGTTTGCCTTCAACAGTTTTTTGGCACCCACGATGCCTTAGACTTTATCTCCTCCAGTAGGCCACGTATCACCGCCAGCTCGATCATCCTCGCGTTGCCCTTGAGAAACAAGGCCCCCTCCACGAACTCCTCGGTGAGCCAGAGCCATCAAAACATGGACCGGCGCAAAGACAACGGCCCTGTGAACGGGGTCGAGAGCTTCGGGGGCCGATGTCTGGAAGAAAAACAGCAGATGCCTGCGAGGAGGAGGAGGAGGCAGGGAGGGGGTGAGAAACGAACTCCTGAGTGCTGAGCTGGCCGTCGCCGTCCTTGTCCATCACCGAGAACGCGGTGACCACGTCAGGGATGTCGAGCCCCATTCCAGTCAGCCACTCTTGGACCTTATGCCGCTTCAACACCCCTTCGAGCTCATCCTTGTCGAGGTAACCATCCCCGTTCACGTCCGCGTTCTCGAAGAATATTTTCATCTTCTCGGTGTTGTTCTTTATCGCGCGTTTTGTCTCATTCGTCATTATGCCGTCGTCCAGCGACGCCACCTGGAACGTCTCGTGAAGGAACACGCCTGTCATCACCTCGATCACGGGGGGATGTAAGAACAATACGCTGACTAATGACGTATATGCTCGATTATACGAATTGATTGCTGCATGCCCCTAGGAGGGTAACACACGCAGCGTGCAGCTGTGGCCTGCTCAGGACAGGTGCGAATTAAAGTTAGCTGCCTGCGCCTGGGAAGGGACAGTGCCTGAGAAGAAAGCTCATGAATGCACAGCAAATATCGATCACGATAAGCATAAGCATAAACGCATAAGCATAGCGTAATATCCATAAACGATAGGCATACACATAAACGCATTAACACGAACACCAACATATCAATACAATATAAACGCATAAGCTCACCTCGATCACGGCAAAACCGAAACACAGCTGGTGCCCCACACCGAGGATCATGTACAACTCGTCGACTTTGACGAGCTCGCGTGTAATGGTGTACCAGTTACCTAAGAGCATCTCGAACATGGAGAGCAGCGACTTGCTGAATGTTCCAAAATGCTCGTATATCGCCTGGCGGTCCTCCAAGGGATTGTCGACGTTGTCCCAGAAGCCCTCCATCAAGATGTTGAGCAGGAGTGCAAATACCATCTCAACGAGCAGGAGGACGGCGGAAGACCAAGCTAAAGCGGAAAAGCTGCTTTTGATCGAGGCTACCATCAAGTACAACTTCTCGAAGGCGTTGATGAACCTGATGACTCGGATGAAGCGCAGCAACTTCACAAGTCTCGCGACACGTATAAACTTAGGATCCAGAGGCAAGATACTTTCCGAGAGCCGCTCAATGTACCACATGCCAACAGCGATAATGTCGATCCATGACCACGTGTCCAGGAACAACTCCTTCCGAAGAATGGCCAACCGCCAGAGCAACTCCAAAGTGAACAACGCTCCGAACATTGTGTCTGTGACGACGAAAAACGTATCGGCGCCCGGCCACACTTTGCTAGCAGGTTGGGTCGACGGCGATCGCCCAAGGTCGTAGCGATAAGAACCGTCAATTCCATCATACTGCGCTTCTAAGGCCATCGTTAGAGTGTTCAAAAGGATGACGGTCGACCACAAGAGCTCGAACGTCGGGCTGTTAACAAATATGTAACAGAAACTACTTGTCCTCGCGTGATCTGCACTGTCTTGACTTAGACGTCGGTTATCGAAGACTTCGTCGTGCGCGGTGATCAAGGACTTGACGGTCTGGCGGCCTTTCTCCAGGGGATTGCCAAAGGACCTGCTCAATGACCTGGTGAAGGACTTGGCCATGGATTTCGAGCCATCGCCCGAAGGTGTCGAATCATCCGACAATGCAGGGCCGCGTCCTGAACTGGCCGATGCAGTGGCGGGGTCGCGAATGGCGACCCCCACCCCGGAAGCCCCTTTCGTCGGGGAGTTGCCTTAGAATGGCAAAAAGAAATATGAACATACACTTTTGGAGGTCCGCGGCGATTTCTCGGGATGGCGCTGAAACCCCCTCCCCCTAGCGTTTTTTTTTTCGGGGGGGGGGGGGGCGATCGGGGAAGAGGAAGGGTACTACCCAATAAAGACAACAGCGAACCCGAAAACAAGACCTCACCTCTCATGGGGTCTATGTTTGTTGTCGGAGGGTGCTTTTTTGTGTCTCTCTGTGTTTGTGTGTATGTGTGTGTGTGTGTGTGGGTGTCTGTATGTGTGTCGTAGGGAGCAATGTCCTGAACGCCTTGCCCGCCTTCAATCCGCTTTCAGCGACCGCCCTGTTCTCCTGCCGCCTCTTTGCTGCCAATTTGCTGCGGAGCAGCCCGTTTTAGGCCACCACGTGCTGAGCGACCGCCAGCGCCGCGACAAGAAGAAGAAGTGTGTGTGTGTGTGTTACTTTTTTTTGGGGGGGGGAGTTCTGAGGTTCTGGTGCGCCGACCCAAAAACCCCACGGGCACCTCCGCAACTTATGCCCATATCCGCTCTTTGCTCCTCGACGCCTCCCCAGGCAGGCTCGCTCCAGGGCGGCACCTGGGGGATCCGTATATCGTACTGTATACATATATATATATATATATATATATATATATACACATACAAATGTAGATCGAGAGGTCTGTATAACACGCCGAGAATACACCGATGCCGCCGTTGCCAGGACCCCTCCGGGGGCTCCGCTACGATCGTGCTCGCGGAGACGGAGAACCGGCCGCGGCAACGAGGGCCCCCCCTGTCAGGAGGCCTGGAGGGGCGAAGGCGGAGGAGGCGCACTGGCATTTGGTGCTCCTGGTGTTGGGGGGGGAACGGTAACAAAGGGGACTGGCTCAGCGGGTGTGGGCGGGGTGGGGGACCTCGACGCGGAATCGGCGATACGTTGCTGATACATCGGCGAGGTGCTCTCGATCGCCCAACTGCACGCTCCTGGGCGGGGTGGGCAATCGGGCCCCTATCGGCGCTGAGTGGGCGGCGGGGGGTCGAGGCGCCCGTCCCCCCCCGAGCCTGTTCCCCCTCGTCTTCGCCCCTGTCCTGCGGGGCACCGAGCCAGGAGGCTCCCCTGCGTCCCGCAGCTCGGTCTGGACCTCCAGCTGGCCGTGCGCCGCCACGCCCGGGGCCGGCCTGCCCAGCGCCTCGTCGGCCTGGCCTGCCGCGGCCCGCAGCACCGGGGCGGCCGCGTGCGCGTGGTCGCGCAGCTGGCGCGCCACGTTCTCGTGCTCGCGCCTGAGCTCGGCCAGGAGGCCGTCGAACCGCGCGAGGTCCGCAGCCGGGCCACCGCGGGCGCCCAGTGGGATTTCTGCTTGAGCCATCAGCTGGGCTCTGCAAGGTGCAGAAATGGGAAAAACCTGGGCGGGCGAGGCTTGGGCCAGAGCTGGTGGCAGAGAGGGAGGAGGGCGACAGAATGACGAGGGTGATGGAAGGGACGATGATTACAGTGATGATGGATAGTGCTGCTGCTGCTGCTGCTGCTGCTGCTGATGATGATGATGATGATGATGATGATGATGATGATGATGATGATGATGATGTAGAGCGAAAGGCTGGCTTGGAAGACTACAACGTGGAGGGGGAGGAGGACATTCATGGTGATAGTGATTCCAATGTGGACACCAAGCAGTAATTTGGTGCAGCGCAGTTGATGCATTGCAAAGCCAGCGGTGCAGGTGAATGCAACGTCAGGCAAGCGATAGCAATACAAAACGATGCCATGCATTGACGCCCAGTGCAAAACAATGCAGAGGAATACCAGCAACAACAATACAACACACAAAACCCGTGCCCCAAAGAGTAGCTTAACCTCCAACGCGCCGAACGCAGCGCCTCCGCAAAACGGCCGCCGCCCCAACAGCTCCGCAATGACTGCGCACACTCGGCCAACCGACAGCGGTGATACAAGATGGGCAGGCGTAATGAGCGCAGCGATTAATTCGGCGGGTCCCCTGCTGGCACTCGCCGTGTTAGCCGTCGAAGGTAGATGGTGAGATGGAGGATGATGGTGAAGAGTGAGATGGCATGCGTAAGGCTTCTAAGGGCTTCGCGGATTCCGCTGGCCGATGATGTTTCGAACGCCAGTTCTTATGCGTTCTCATGGGGGACGCGAAAATGCGAGCGAAATGTGCTCCAAGGGCTAGGTCCATGTGCGCGACAGTTCCTGGGGCAGCCCCACACTCGATTAGGACACATGAAAAATACAAGTGATCTGCGCTGTCAGGCTCCTGGGGCACGTGAAAAAAAACTAATGATTTTGGCCTCGAGGCTTCTGGGAGACGTGCAAATACGAGTGAATTGCCATTCCATTTAGATTGGGGCCTCAATTCGGCACACCCCTCACGCACTTCGTCAATGTTAGACGCTCAGCTGGCGCCCGAGACTGCTCCTTGGCGCCTCAATTCGGCACACCCCTCACGCACGTCGTGCCTCATGGACCCCAAAAGGCCCTTAGCTGGCCCCCAAGAACGTCTAATCCCCAAGGGGCGCGAATACGCCTCCAAGAAAAATTGCAACGAGTGGTGCCGATTCTCGTCAAGGCAATATCCCTAACACCCACTGGTTGCACAATCTGCGTGTAAGCTTCCCCCTGGGGGCCCGCAGTGACTCCCGCTCTGCGGGCTCAATTACAACAACCATACAACACAACCTATGCCGCAACCTATTTCATAGCCCATGAGCGCAATCTGCCTATCAGGGCCCTCCTCAACAGGCCTCGGGGACGTCAACAAAAACGACTCGGGATGGAACACCGGTCCCTGGTAAGTGGTCGAGAGGTCGAGGGCCCGTGTCTCGAACAAATCGAAACGCTGAATGTCTAGGTATGGCGCCCAAAACCCCAGAGCATCAGGCGAAACCCGTAGCCGCAGCCGCAGCCTATGGCACCGAGAAGTCCCCGGTGCATCAGGCGCGATTTTGGGGTCCACGGGGGTGGGTCTTGGGGCCTTCTTGAGCCCTCCTGGGGCGCCCGAGACTCGGCCTTCCTGGATGCGCGTAAGTTCTGCGGGGTCAGGTCTCATTCGTGCAGCTGCTGGATCTACGTGCGGTCAAATACTATGAAGCAGACGATGGCAGAAATACGCACGAGTGTACATATGAACTGTGATATGCAAAGATAACGTGGTAGAGAAAGAGAGAGAGAGAGAGATAGATAGAGAGAGATAGAGGTAGAAAGAGAGAGAGAGAGAGATATCTTTAATCAGAGAGAGAGAGAGAGAGAAAAAGAGAAGGGAGGGGGGAAGGAGACACAAGCATGGAAGCTGGTCGACCTCAAAGCTCAGGCTCCTCGCCTCGTCGCCGTCAACCATCATCGGCACCTTCTCCGGGCCCACTTCGTCATGGAGGCCCAGGGCGCCAGCGCAGACCGCCCCAGCCAGCACGAGGCACGTGCGGGCAAGGAGGGGCATCGCCGGCTGGCCGCCCGAATATGATAACAAATATGTACGCTCGGGTGGACAGCAACCGGGGGGCAGCGAATGGAACTGGGGGCGTCGACAGATGCACCACTCCATCACTCTCAGCACCCGCGGGCGGCCGCTCGGAGCTCAGCGCGGGGGCACTTTCGGGGCCATTCTTCCCAAACTCCCGTCGTCGTTTTTTTCGCCGCGCGGGCCCCCAGAGGTCTCGACCTTTCCCCCAGGGCTGGCTCTTCATCCCGCCCCGCTCTTCTGCGGTGCTGGGCCCGGCAAGGGCCCTGCAAAGGAAGAGAACTGCCGACTTCCGTCCGTTTTTGTGTCACTCCGCCATCCGCTGGAGCAGCTTCTCTGCCTCGCAGCTGACGAAAACAAGCTTTGTGTCACGCCGCGACTGGGCAGCCTGGGCGTCGAACATCTGCCCGCGGACGCGTCCTGGGAAGCGTCCTGGCCAGAATCTCGAGGCGAATCCAGCCGTGTCGACGATGGCGCTTCAGGAGGCCCAAGAAGGGCCAGAAACGCCCAAAAACGTTTCACTTCGATCCTCGATCCCCAGGCCTCGATCCTGTGCTGGGTGCCGCCCTGTGCCTGGCCTGGATGCCATCTCGGCCTGGAGGCCATCCCTGGGCCGGGCCAGGCGTGCCATAGGGCGCCACTCGCGCGCGGGCGCGCTCTGGCGCTCGCCCGCCTCTCGCTGCCCCTCCCGTCTGCCGCCCGCCCGGTGGGGTGCAGCCGGAGCTGCGGTGGGGTGCAGCTGCAGGATGTGGATATCCAGAAGAGCACGAGACGGCAACAACACAAACTTCGGGAGGCTGGCCGCCGCGGCAGCGGCAGCAGCCTGGCTCCGGCAAGCCGCGGGTCAGCGGCTGGGCCGCCGCAGGCCACGGCGGCGGTGGCAGCGGGCCCGCGCGGATCTCCTGGGTCAGCGCTGTGCCCCCCCCCCAGCTCCCTGGCGCGCGAAGCGTCCCAGGGGGCGGCGCTGGAGGCGCTGCCAGTGGGGGCCCAGCGCCGCCTCAAGGGATCCGTGCAGACTTCTGGAAGTTTGTGCTTCTGCAGTCTTCTCTTCTTCGAGGCTCGGGTTCTGCCAAGGGTGCCCCTGGCGAAGTGTGACCCGGGACCCAGGCCCAAGATCGAGGTTCAGGGGTGGTGGCTGGCGCGATCCTTCGTAACTTTCGGTTTCCCGGGGATGCTTTTTCGGCACTCTGGGGGTCGTTCGAAGTAGAGTGGTAAGGGTGGACCCTGGGAGGGCTCTGGAGACCGACTTTGAATGGATTCTGGTTGGGAGTGGAGGTGACCCGAGCCACTCCAAGGCATCCCAGGTGGCCTCCAGGGCTCCACTCACGATGCCCATGAGGGCCTTTGGAGCTCCAATATGGGCCGCAGCGCGGGGGGCACCTTCCCCGATCCGCGATCTTTCTGCTAGCTACGTGGGTCCCCTGAGGTCTCCTCCCGTTTCCCTGGAGGTCCTCGGTTGGATGCCGTTCTGTCGCCTGCACGCGAGTGACTCCAGGCAAGAGTGACCTTTGGCGCGCGGCTGTAAGGGGCAACGGGGGGGCCAAATCCACGCGCGCAAGCCACTGCCGGGGGGACCCCTGTGGGCCCGCACCAAACGTAGAGGCCTCCTAGATGGCATCCGAGCAGATGGAGTCGGAGGATTGCACCGCATCGCCGATGTAACGGCGATGTATCGGTGATGCATGGGCGATGCATCGGCGATTGCGGCAATGCATCGGCGACGTCGGCGTGGAGAACATCGGGCTCCACATCGAGCCGTATCGCCGATGCATCGGCGATGCGGCGCGGTCCTTCGACCCCAACTGCTCAGGCCTCACCTGGGAGGCCTAGACGAGGTCACTCTGGCGAAACGCCCCTCTTCCGCACGGCCGATGTCCTGGGCCTGGCCTGGAGGCCGTCACGGCCCGACCGGGTGCTGCTTCGGGAGCGGAGCGCCGCGGGCACCTCTGGCGCGAGAATGATGCTTGTGGTGAGGCCCGCTCGGGATGCGCTCCAGGAGCTTAGCCGCCCCGAGAAGCGACACGCAGCCCGTAGCGTGTTGACACGGAGCTCAGCACGCACATTGAAAACGTGCGCTTGGCACGATATGTTCGCCAAAACGTGGGCCACGCGTTGAACCACCACGCAGCGTGTTAACACGGACGTTTGGAGCACGGCAAGTGTTGCTTTCCAAAACGGGCGGGCGTATCAGGGCAACTATGTCCAGGAGATCTGAAGTGTCGTAGCACCCCGCAGTTGCAGATAATAATAAAGGAGCAAGCGCGGGGTGGGTCGCGGGGTGGGTCACGGGTGGGTCGCGGGGGGGGGGGTCGTGGGCGAGGACGGCGGCAACCTCAACAATCATTTTACCTTCATGCGCCATGCTTCTACGTGCCACATGCATTCACCATGATGCCAACCCCCTCTGGGGGGAACTGAATGAAGGGCGGCCGGTATTCCCCATACCCAGTATTCCCGCCCCAGGAGGTCGAGCCAACACTTCTTCCGAGGCACATTCCCACTTTCAGCTCGCATGGCGCACAACAGCAATGCGACTATGGGGAACGGTGGGGAGATTCGAGCCCTTTGAAAGGGGCAATCTGTAGGAGCATACGTGAATCACTCAGGATTCGAATCTCAGTCGACGGGGACTCTGTAGGAGCATATTTAAAGCACAAAGGGTTCAAGGCCAAGTCGAGGGGCAGTTTATAGGAGCATTACAACAAAAAGGATTCGAGCCCCAGGAAAGGGCTCGACAAAGCCTATGAGGGCAAAGCCTATGAGGGCGAAGCCTGCGAGGGGCAGAAAACTACTCTCCGAACATGCATGTTAAGACAGAAAAGTGCCTCGTGGGGCCTCTTAGGGTTTCCTGGGGGCGGGGTGCCGAAAAACGCTCCCCGAACACGTAATCATCCTAATGCAGAACAGCGTTTCCTGGGGCCTCCTGTGGGCGGGAGGGCCGAAAATACGCTCCCCGAA